GGTATTTTTTTTTTTTTTTTTTGGAAATTCTGAACTTTTTGGTGATTGCATGTTTGGTATTCCTCTCAAAATGCTGAAATGAGATGTGTGTGTGGTATGGGTCTGTTATTTTTTCTGATATTTCTCGACAAAATTCTAAATAGCAGTTTTCAACTGATTCTTTTATTTTTTACGCGATTCTTTGTTTTTTGCGCGATATTGTTTTTTTCCTTTTTGTTTATTTGGTTGGTTGGTTTATTTTTCTAGTCTTTTTTAACTGTGCTTGTTAAGGTTGTAGCTTTCGATTTGCTATATTTTTTTACTGAACGTTATTTGGAGTACATTAGCAATTAACCATACCTCCAGAAGCCTGCAAAAGCTCTGAGGCTCACGTAGATGGTTAGAGCAACCCGAATTCGGACAAATTTATAACTTGATGAAAGAATGAACAAGCATACAATGATTGGCCTTTTCGCAGACTTAAAAATTATCTAGGATGGCGACACAGATGATAATTGCTCAGCTCTAATTATATTATGCCTACAAAATTGCCAACACATTGCTGAAAAATTCTAAGGTACACCTCATCGGTTGAGTGACAAACAGTAATCCTCTGCCCCCGTTTCACTAATGAAGTGAAGCTTCTTGAATTCTAGCTTCTACGACTGCTAAAGTCTATAATGGAGCTGTAATATTTTAATTTCATTTGGAGGAAATTTGATCATCTTAAAAATGACAGAACTTTCTTCATATCTATTTTGGGATCTCCCCTCCTTTTTAACTGTGGCACTACTTACTGTACTAATGAACTACTTATCAGTAGCCTTTGCTTTCAGTCTGTGCCAAATCTTCCACATGTATTTGTTTAAGAAGATACAATTCATCATTCTCAAAAGAAAAAGATGAAAACGAAATTTGATAATTGTCTAAAAAGTGTGAACTTATAGATTAAGGAAGCTGTTTGATGTATAGTGTGTTGCAGTACCTTTTTTTTTCTTACTCTTTTATTTTGTGATAACAAGGCACTTGGATAGAATATCCGACTTTTATTCACATGGTGTCCTTCCTTTTCTTTTAAGTTCCTGATAATGAGTCATCAGCAAGAACTGACCCAAAACTCAATGGAAATATTTCTGTTGTTTTAAAAAGGAACAACAAATAGGACTGGTGAAAGGACACTAGTACACATTCACTTTTGAACAAAATAGGAATATTTTGAAGGTTATAACACTTATACAATCACTGGTCCTTTAAATTATTATTTTAAACTTGGAATGGTTTAACATGGGAATGTCTTCTCTGCTTGCAGTAATTGTGACTGAACAGATACTCTTAAGATAATGGCAAGCTACAAAATCCTTTTCTCAAATTGTTTTTACATGTGAAATGCTTTGTTTTTGTGTTTATATTTGTTTTGCTTGATAAGTAGATTTCAGAGATTAATCATCTAATAAAAGATAAATTTACTTTCTACACCAAAGTAGTTTGGATCCAAATATTCCTACAGTTGGATAGTTGTAGATAAATTTACTTTCTACACCAAAGTAGTTGCATATAGCTTTTTCTGTTCGATGTAGTACCCTTGTGCAAATGTTTAGTTATTGGATTGGTGGCATTTCTATGGAATCTCTCTGTCTTGGTATCATACTGATTTATCAATGCTTTGAAGTAAAATGAAGCTTGGTTATTGTCTTAGAAATAAATTATCAATGCTTTGCGCATGGATTTTCTGTTTATTATGACTCTCGAGCTTAAGTCGCTTCTTCGGCCTAATGTTCTTATCTGTATCTTTGATGTTATCTTCAAGCTCTAACAATATGATCTTGTATTTGTTTCTTTAATAATAGGGACAAGGTTCTTAAATAGTGGTGACAATGAAGGAGGAGCTTAAAGCTAAGGCACTCAATATTTTTCTTTTTAGTTATATGTAAATGCGTACAATGACAATGAAGTATTACCTAGTATATATGCGGAGGAACTTGAAGCTAAGGCACTCAATATTTTACTTTTTGGTTATATGTATATGCGTACAATGATAATAATGTATCACGTAGTGTATATGCGGAGGAGCTTGAAGCTAAGGCACTCAATATTTTACTTTTTGGTTATATGTATATGCGTACAATGATAATAATGTATCACGTAGTGTATATGCGGAGGAGCTTGAAGCTAAGGCACTCAATATTTTGCATTTTGGTTATATGTATGTGCGTACAATGATAATGAAGTATTGCATAGTATATATGTAACTGAACTTTTAGTAATGGAAATGTTTAGTATTTGGTTTAAGAAATTATTTTGGTGTTTATTAAATACTATTGGATGATCTTAAACTTATATATTAATGTAAACTCTAGTATTCAGTTGCTACTAGAGTAATATTAATGGCGAGTTTCAGTTGCCACAAAAAATTACTATTCAATAGCGTTATTAGAGTTGCCACTGATGGCAAATTATTTTTGTGGCAACTAAGTCGCTACTAAATGTCAATCTACAGTAGCGCTATTAGAGTTGCCACTAATGGAAAATCATTTTTGTGGCAACTAAGTAGCCACTAAATGTGACTCTTCAATAGCGGTATCAGAGTTGCCACGGATGGCTAATCATTTTTGTGGCAACTAAGTCGCTACTAAACATCACTCTACAGTAGCGCTATTTAGAGTTGCCACTGATGATTAATTATTTTTGTGGCGACTAAGTCGCCATTAAATGTTACTCTTCAGTAGCGACTTCAATAAAATCAGTCTGGTGGAACTCTTTCTTATGGCGAGTACATTTAGTTTTTGTAGCGACAATGTCGTCACAACATGTATACATTCTGTGGCGACCTCATGTTGTCTCCACTAGTAACATTCAGTAATGGAAGTACTTGCAGCAGTTCCATAGTCGCTACTGTAAACATTTAGTGGCTACAATCAATGATTTTGTGGAGACTTTGGTCGCTACTAAAAGATAGATTTATTGTAGTGAATATATCCGAACGACAGTAAACTCTGAGAACCAACTCAGTGCAGGGTTGGATCTGCACACGAAGTACAGGGTGTAGCGTGAGTACAACCAACTCAATAAGTAATAAGTCTAACTATTGGGCTGAAAGAAGTGACGGACTTCACAGTTACAGTTCAATTACAAAATTACAGTACATAAATAATGTATGCATACTTCTAAGTTAAAAAGTTAAAGCCCAAACACGTAAATTATGTCAAGTTCAATTGAAACAAGATATGGTACATCTTGATATCTACATGTCATTTATGTATGCCAACTGAAGTATAGACAGTGATGAAATCATATGCATACTCTTAGAGTATCAATCACCCAGTCCTCCCATTCACTCCATCCTTACAGTCACCCAGTGTAACGATTCGACTGATCGTTTTAAGCTCTAGCGCGTCGTTCAGAGGTTTGAGTCCTTGAGTAGCTTTATTTTAGGTATTATGACTTATACGTGTGGTCGAAATTAAATATCGGGAAGTTCGAAATTGATTCGGATGGAAAATTCTAAATTCGAAAGCTTTAAGTTGGAAGAGTTGACTAAGGTTTGACTTTTGAATAAATGACATCGGAATCAGAATTTGAAGGTTCCAATAGCTTCATATGATGATTTCGGACTTGGGCGTCTATTCGGGTTGAGTATCGGGTCGCCCGAGAGCATTTCGATGCTTATTATGGAAAGTTGACATTTTGAAAGTTTTAGAATTTTCTAAGTTTGGTTTTGAGGTGTACTTTAGTGTTATCGATGTCCGTTTGGGATTTCGAGCCTTGGAATAAGTTCGTATCGTGATTTATGACTTGTGCGTAAAGTTTGGCATCATTCTAGAATGTTTAAGTATGATTCGGACACGTTCGTCGAAGTTTAAAAGTTTAAACAAAGATTTCGATCGTCGATTCATAGTTTTGATATTGTTTGGTGTGATTTGAGGCCTTGAGCGGGTTTGTGTCATGTATTGGACTTGTTGGTGTGATTGGACCAAATCTTGTAAAGATATTCTTTTTCAAAAATGCCACCACACTTCGAGCTTCATTGTTGGGTAGAGCAACGGCCTCAACCCACTTTGACATATACTCCACAGCTACCAAAATGTATGTGTTCCCACAAGATCTTACGAACGGTCCCATGAAATCAATGCCCCACACATCAAAAATGTCAATTTCCAAGATGGTGGTGAGTGGAATCTCGTTTTTCTTAGAAATCCCACCGGCCCTTTGACATTCATCACAATGCTTGACTAGATCACTAATGTCCTTATAGGGGGTAGGCCAATAGAATCCACAACTCAACACTTTTGTCGTCATTCTCGCTCCACCATGGTGACCACCATATGGTGAAGAGTGGCAAGCCTCAAGAATTTCCACTTATTCTTCCTCCGGCACACCTCATCAAATCACAACATCGGTACAAATCCGGAAGAGATACGGTTTATCCTAATAATAATCAAGGCAATCCCGTTTGAGCTTTTTCCTTTGGTTTGAAGAGAACTAATTCGGTACAATACCACTCACAAGATAATTTGCTAAGTCGGCGAACCATGGCATCTCGGTCATTGAAATGGCTAGAAGTTGCTCATCGGGGAAGGAGTCATTAATCTCAAGGCCGTCATGTGGCCTCTCCTCCTCCTCCAAACGAGACAAGTGATCCGCCACTTAGTTTTCACTGCCTTTGCGGTCTTGGATTTCGAGATCGAACTCTTGCAATAAAAGCACCCACCGCATTAACCTCGCCTTTGAATCCTTTTTGCTCATTAAGTACCGAAGCACCGCATGATCGGTGTGGATAATCACCTTTGTACCCATCAAGTACGGGCGAAACTTCTCCATAGAAAAGACAGTAGCAAGGAGCTCTTTTTCGGTCACCGTGTAATTGGCTTGGCATCGTTCATGGTCTTACTAGCATAGTAGACCAGATGGAAGATTTTGTTGATACGTTGCCCCAAAACTGCTCCGACCGCCACATCACTTGCGTCACATATGAGCTCAAAAGGCAAGCTCCAATCCAGTGCGGTGATAATAGGAGTAGTAGTCAATTTGAACTTGAGAAAATTGAATGCCTTCATGCAATCCTCGTTGAAATGGAATTTGTCATCCTTCTCTAAAAGCTTACACAAGGGGTACACCACTTTGGAAAAATTCTTGATGAAGCGGCAATAGAACCCCGCATGACCCAAGAACCTACTCACTCCCTTCACGGATGTAGGGGTGGGAGATTAGAAATCACCTCTATTTTTGCCTTGTTGACCTCAATACCATTCTTTGAAATTTTGTGGCCAAGGACAATGCCTTCCTCGACCATAAAGTGACACTTCTCCCAATTGAGCACCAAGTTTGTCTCCTCACATCTTGCCAAGACCTTATCCAAGTTTTTCAAGAAATCATCAAAGGATTTCCCAACCACAGAAAAATCATCCATGAAGACCTCAAGAAAATCCTCCACCATGTCAGTGAAGATAGCCATCATACACCGTTGAAAAGTCATCGGTGCATTGCATAACCCAAATGGCATCCGTAAGAATGCGAAAGTACCATAGGGATATGTGAAAGTGGTCTTCTCTTGGTCCTCCAAGGCAATAAGAATTTAATTGTAGCCGGAATATCCATCAAGGAAATAATAGAAAGCACGACCGGCCAATCTATCAAGTATTTGATCAAGGAATGGAAATGGAAAATGATCTTTCCTTGTGACTTTGTTGAGCTTACGATAGTCCATACACACTCTCCACCCGGTCACCGTTTTGTAGGAATCAACTCGTTCTTGTCATTGGTGACCACAATCATGCCCCCTTTCTTTGGGACACATTGCACCGGAGAGGTCCACGAGCTATCGAAAATGGGGTAAACAACCCCGACATCCAACCACTTTATGATCTCCTTCTTCACCACCTCTTGCATTGCTTCATTTAGTCTTCTTTGATGTTCAACGGAGGGTTTGGCATCCTCCTCCAAAATAATCTTGTGCATGCAAAAGGCAGAGGTTATACCCCGAATATCCACCAATGTTCATCTGATAGCTTTCTTCCTCTTTTGTAGCACCGCCAAAGTAGAGTCTACCTGTACATTAGTCAAACAAGAGGAAAGAATAACAGGTAAAGTAGACCACGTGCCAAGGAATTCATACCTGCGATGTGGAGGCAATGGCTTTAACTCCAAAGTGGGAGGTTCCTCGATTGAGGGCTTTGTTGGAGGAGTCTTCCGGTTTTCAAGATCTAAGGACAATTTGCGGGGTTCATAAGTGTACGATCCCATTCCTTGCAATGCATTCACACATTCCACATAGCCATCCTTCTCATCATCATCATGATTAAGCAATACAGCCTCCAAAGTATTATCAACATTCATCATGGCACTAGTATCATCATCAATCACGTCGGTCACTAAATCCACAAACGAACAAACTTCATTGCTATTTGGTTGCCTTATAGATTTGCACACATGGAAAAATACCTTTTCATCACCCACCCGGAAGGTGAGCTCGTCGGCTTCCACATCAACAAGTGCCTTCCCCATAGCAAGAAAAGGTCTACCCAAAATAATAGGCACCTCATAGTCCACTTCACAATCAAGAATCACAAAGTCCGCATGGAGGATGGACTTATCAACTCGAACCAACACATCATCAATAATACCCAATGGTCTCTTCATAGTACGATCCGCCATTTGTAGCCTTATAGAAGTGGGTCTTGGTTGCCCAAACCCTAACGTTTTGAAAACCGAGTAGGGCATCAAGTTGATACTCGCCCCTAGATCACAAAGAGCTTTGGAAAAGTCGGCGCTTCCAATGGTGCAAGGGATTGTGAAAGCACTGGGATCTTTCAATTTAGGAGCCATTGAGTGCCCAATTACTCTCACTTGATATGTCATCTTTATAGTCTCACAATTTATCGACCTCTTCTTTGTCACCAAATCCTTCATGAGCTTTGCATATTCGTGCATTTGCTCCAAAGCCTCAACCAATGGCACATTAATAGATAAGCTCTTCATCATGTCAATGAACTTTTTGCATTGGTTCTCACCATTTTTATTGGCAAGCCTTTGAAGGTATGGAGGAGGAGGCCTTGGCATTGGTGCCTTAACCTTTGGCACTACCGGTTTCGATATGTCAACAATGTGTTCCCTAGACGGGTTCACTTCTTCTTGAGTCTCCTCCACATTTTCATCAATATCAATTTTCACTTTGTCATTTGCTTGCACCACATTGTTTGGAATCTCATCTTCTTGAATCACTTGTTCATCATCCACAATTTTTCTTTGACTTGAGGTGGTTAAA